AAGCTTCCGTCAGAGCTCAGACCTTATCAAACATAGGAGAATCCACACAGGAGAAAGACCCTACACTTGCTGTGAGTGTGGGAAAAGCTTCCATCGGCACTCAAGCCTTGCCTCACATCACAGAATCCACACAGGGGAGACACCCTACAGCTGCCCTGAGTGTGGGAAAAGCTTCCGTCAGAGCTCAGACCTTATCAAACATAGGAGAATCCACACAGGAGAAAGACCCTACACTTGCTGTGAGTGTGGGAAAAGCTTCCATCGGCACTCAAGCCTTGCCTCACATCACAGAATCCACACAGGGGAGACACCCTACAGCTGCCCTGAGTGTGGGAAAAGCTTCCGTCAGAGCTCAGACCTTATCAAACATAGGAGAATCCACACAGGAGAAAGACCCTACACTTGCTGTGAGTGTGGGAAAAGCTTCCATCGGCACTCAAGCCTTGCCTCACATCACAGAATCCACACAGGGGAGACACCCTATAGCTGCTCTGAGTGTGGGAAAAGCTTCTATCAGAGATCAACCCTTGCCGTACATCTCAAAATCCACACAGGGGAGACACCCTACAGCTGCCCTGAGTGTGGGAAAAGCTTCCGTCAGAGCTCAGACCTTATCAAACATAGGAGAATCCACACAGGAGAAAGACCCTACACTTGCTGTAAGTGTGGGAAAAGCTTCAATCGGTACTCAATCCTTGCCGCACATCACAGAATCCACACAGAGGAGACAGCCTATAGCTGCTCTGAGTGTGGGAAAAGCTTCAGTCGGAGCTCAGAGCTTGTCCCACATCAAAAAATACACACAGGAGTGTAGACCTAGTCGTGCCCTGAGTGTGGGAAAGGCTTCAGTCATAGTTCACAGATTATCACACATCAGAGAATCCACACAGGAGAATAACACTATACTTGTATTCAGTAGGGCTGCCCAAAGATTTTTTGTTTCTTTTTTTTTTTGGTGGGTTTTGTTTTTTGTTTTGTTTTGTTTTGTTTTTGTAACACATTGGCTAACTCCCACATAGTGGTCTTTAAGGTTGATTGCACCATTTCCTTTACTGCAGTCTCTCAGCTCCCCTCGGATGAGTTGCCACCTTCTGTCTTTTGCAGCTCACCTTACTTTGGGGTGAATCCTGCGATCCTTTCTATCAACTCCTTTGTCTTATGAGTTATGGGAGTGTGTGTCCCTCTTGACAGAAATGTCCATCAGTCCGAATTGGGAGAGAGAGGGTTGACCTCATCTAGCTACAGTGAGATAAAAACTTGTCTCCACCAGAACTGTACTTTGAGTTAGGCCATGTCTACACCATCACTTATGTCGGCAAAACTTATGTCGCTCAGGGGTGTGAAAAAAACACACACACCCCGAGTAACGTAAGTTTTGCCGGCATAATTGGCAGTGTGCACAGCGCTATGTCGGTGGGAGAGCTTCTCCTGCCGACATAGCTACCGCTGCTCGTTGTGGGTAGTTTAATTATGTTGACAGGAGAGCTCTCTCCCTCCAGCACAGAGCGACTTCACAAGAGATTTAACACCAGCGCGGCTGCATCACTATAGCTGTGCCGCTGTAAGGTCTCTAATGTAGACATGGCCTAAATTACTCAAATCAGCTATCTGGGTGTAAAAACACAACTATCTTTTCAGGGTAGACATAACCCAGGTGCACTGGTGTGGTTAGCTTTCCTCTTGTGCTGACCTGATCTCCATCACTCTTCCTAGTCTGGATAAACCCTGAGCATCACATTGCAAAGTGAATGTTAGTCATCAGATTTCCTGGTTGGGACGAGACTCTCATTCCCACTTGTTCTGACATTGTTTGTGGTTGTGCTGAATAGCTGGTAGTTTTTCTACCAGTTTTCTGATTTAGAATATAGTGAGATGCAACAAAAAGGCAGGAGGAAAGGTAGAAAAAAAAGGATCATTTCAGCGTCTGTGATATCCAGAGGAGATGGTGTGAGTCCAAGGGATTCCTTTCCAATCACCATCATGAATCTCCCGCCACTCCAACAGCATTGGCTTCTGAGTGAGCCACAATAGCGTCTCCTCCCCATGTTCTATCCCTCCAGCTCCCAAAGTGTCACATGAAGCAGTGTTCTCAGCTCTCTGTGCTTAGGTATCAGGCTTTGATCCTAAATCAGACTCGTTGGGGCTGGAAATGAGTGTCACAGGCTGAGCGGGGGAATTTGAGAGGATCCCAAACAGATTAACCTTTCTGTGCTTTAATCCCTGTTTCTGTCTATTGGCAAAGTTGGTTTTAGGATTTTTCCAGCTGAGCTGGGATTGTTTCCAGATTGGAAGGTTGGCTGATTTTCCCCAATATGATGATGGTAGAACCTTTGTAACTAACATGACTGAATAGTAATGAGGTGGTGCTGAGTGAAGAAGGTTTGAATGGACCAGAGGACAGCGCAATCGGAAAATCTGTTCTAATTTGGCATCATCATATCATTGTATGATACTGAAACTGTCTTATTCGCTTGTGTGCTGTGGGTTTTTCTCTCTTTCCTGAGGGAATTTGATAACATAACTGTATATTAGTTTTTTATGATAAGATGAAGTTCAGTTTTTTGGTGGAGTTTGAGACAAATGACCATTTACTAAAACAATAATTTATTTTTGTGCGTGTCTTTTTTCCACGCCTCCGTTATGACATGGAGGAAGTTCAAGAGCATTTCAGTCATCAGGAACAAATACTCAAAGCTATTGGAACAAATACTCAAAGCTACCAGAGAAACAGTAGCATTTTTAAATTGTACATCTAACTAAGTGTAGCGGGGTGGTCGCCCTGAAGGGCTTGAAATCAGCCCTGGGAGAGGGCTGAGACTGCGAGAGGGCTGCTGCTAGGAAAGCAGCAAGCCTCGGCTGATTGGGGAAACAGCCACAGCTGTGGCCACGCCCCAATCAGGCCACAGCTGGCCTGTATAAAAAGGCCAGTGAGCCAGGCGCTGACAGAGTCTCCCTCTAGCTGAGAAGGGAGATGGACCTAGTTGCCTGAGTCCTAAAGGGTACTGGAGTGAAGCAGGGCTGGGGAAAGGCCAGAGGAGCAGGGGAGTTCCAGGCTGGCAACTCCCCAGGCTGCAGGGCCTGGTCCTAGGCCCATAGAGGTACTGGGTGGCAGAGGAAGGCAGCAGGTCCAAACCCCCTTGCCTGAGATGAGTGGCTTTTACACTGCAGTCTGCCCCAGGGAGCAGGGGCCAGATGGTGACTGACTGGCAGTAGCTCATGACTGAGGCGAGGTGGGGATTAGAGGGTTGGGGGTTTCCCAGAGAGTGGAGACCCATAGAGGCTGGTGGGGGTATTGCTAGGGGGCAGCCCCCAGGTAAAGGGGCACTGGGTCCTGGGAGGGACACGGGGGCCAGCGGCAGCAGGACACCAGCCTGCAGAGGGCGCTCCGACGGCTGGAGAACTAATTCCCTGAGACGACCAGCAGGAGGTGCCGCAGGGGTGAGTCTCGCACGTTTACACTAAGTAATGGAATTGAACACTGTGATCATATAATTTGGATCAATATTATCTCAGATGATTCAAGGACAATATTCCACAGTAAGTGACTTGGAACTAAGCAAAATGCCCATGTATTTGGGTCGCAAGGCAGTTATGGCCCAGGCCTACCAGGAGGTTACTTCTGAAGATTTCTCTTTCCTAATCAAGTGCACATTGCGTATTATTTCAGAACACAGTTCCTACCTATGCAGAGATGGAGAAAATGGAAGTGGCATTTTTGCTGAGTTTACACCTTGTAGATGCTGCAAATGTGTATAAAATAAAATCCGTTGTGAGTGTGAAAGAGCTGCAGCAGTAGATCTATTTTTAATAGATACCCCACCTTTGGTAACTTACACGGCTTGTGATCCAGACCCATATTTGTCCCACCAGATTAAATAAATAAACTGGGCATGCTTGTTTGGGGAAGTGATTCCTCACTCTGACTACTGAGATTTTCTGTCATGTGGTAAAGGATTCTACTCCAGAGAAGTAAAGTTACCCTGACCATGGCCAAGAATTAGACTAGAGCTCAAGTAGAAATAATAGGCACCCAGTGGTTGATTTTTACTCCAGAGATGGAAACTAGGGTAACCTTAGGCTCAGGTAAACTATTTATGTTTAGAACACTACCTCCTGGTTCAGTGGCAGTGATTATGGTTCAAACAATGCTGTGGTTAGATATGGGGGAGTTCTCCTTTACCATTTGGATCCAAAGTTTTATGAGTGAAAGAAAGAAACGGTTGATGCCTTCAGAGGACAGTTCTTCCGTATGGATCCCAGTCTGGCTGTCTTGTTGGAGAACAAGCAATTCCATGCAGTGCAAATGATGATAACCAATGAGGAAATAAATGTCAGACTCCCAAGCTCAGACTGCAGGACTGACGAATGTTGAGTCCTGATTCTATGAATCTGTCTCTCAGTTTTGCTCATGTGTCTCATGAATTTGCATTGCTTCTCCATCTCCTGCTACTTTGAAATATTAAAATTGTGAAAATAGAATACAAGTGCTTTTTTCCCATGATGAGAACACATTTGAGATGACTTCCACCACCACTTATGACCGAAGACCCAGAGATAAATGAGGTCCCAGAAATAGAAGGCACCTATGTTAGTACAGAACACAACTTTACAGAAGCTCACTTGGTGGAAAAGGGGATTAAGAGAAAACTAACACCTATGATAAAATTGTGTAGCCTTCAAATACGTTGTTACTAGTGAAAATGGAATTAAACATAAAGTTTATTGCAGAATAAGAGACTGATTATGTGATAACCTTAATTACTTTGTAACACTGAAAGTTGTCTGGGTTCAGAAAAGAATTAGATAAGTTTATGTAGTATAGGTTCATCAATGACTACTAGCCAAGATGGCTAAGCCTCTGACTGCCAGATGCTAGCAATGAATGACCTGGGATGGATCACTCACTAATTGACGTGTTCATTCCCCCTGAAGCATCAGGCATTGGCCACTGTCAAAAGACAGGATACTGGGTTAGATGAACCAT